GAGAGAGAGAGAGAGAGAGAGAGAGAGAGAGAGAGAGAGAGAGAGAGAGAGAGAGAGAGAGAGAGAGAATATGTGTTTTAGTGCATAAATGTGGAACATACTGAATGAGAGAGCTGTCCCCAAAGTTTTTCAGCCTCCTTCCGACTCTGCTTCTTCTGTATTCTACTGAAGGTGGGGAGGGGCAACTTATTTTGGCTTTTTGGCTTTGTGCATTCAGCTCTATGTCCTGCTGTCAGTCTTTCCTCTGGTCTTTTGGCACAAGTCCCAAGGCATTTTGTGCCTTTCTTTATCTGGTTTGTCTCTTCTTGACCTCTGTCCATGAAACTATTCCCAGGGGAATTTCTCTAGTAAAGTTTTAACTTCTAGTCAGGATTAGCTAGAGAACTAATGATGCCCTTACCCTAATCTCTCCCTGCCTACGGACCCCCTTTCCCTACAGGAGTACAGCTTCTCAATGCACAGCTTGGACACAGAGGGTTTTGGGGGCAGATCTCAAAATTTCTCATTGTCTTAGTTACTTTTCTCTCATTGCAGAGACAAAATACCTGACACACAAGGTTAAAGGAGGAAAGGTTTATTTAGCTCACAGTTTGTAAAGGATTCAGTCCATAATCAGCTGGTTCCAATGCAGGGTGGCATGGCAGAGGGGCACCAGTTCATGGTGACAGAAGACAGCAAAAGCAACAAGAGCAAAAGGGAGGAGCAAGTCTCTGTTCCTCCCTTATATCGTACGCAGGCTACCCACCCTAGGGTGCATGTAGCATTCACATCCCCAATCCCAGCACTAGACAATGACCCAATAACAAACTCTACATTCAACTGCCTCTGAAAAGCCCACCCTCCATGATGATGTGAGGCTTTGGATAGATGTCCAGGCCCAAATCACAACACTCATACAAATCAGAAATGTCAGCTACATGGACTTAAATTTATTAACATTCACCAAGGAGTTCAAACCATCTGACTCTCTAGATTCAGCAAAATATCAGCAAGTTAATTGGTAGATACAAAAACCTTTTTAAAGTGCATAGAGTGAGGCAAAACACCCAGATAAGTCAAAACAGTATTGGAAAAGAAGCAGTTAGGAGGACTGAGTACTCATGCAACTTCAAGACTTTCTATAAAGCAGCAGTAATTGTATCAGTCAGTGCTTACTAGAGAAACAGATTTAATCTAAACTATACAAACATACAAGAATTTATAAGATTGGTTTACAACGGCCACCCACAGAATCAGGTGGGAAAAGTGGTAAAGGTCTATTTGCACACTGGGGATCCAAAGGATCCAGTCAAAGGCCTGGAACTCACTGAAGTATCCTGTGCAAATCTATATCATGGTGCTGAAGATCTACAATAGAAGGCTGTAGAGTTACACTGGAAAGCTGAAGGGTCTGTGCCGGAAGACTGAAGGGTTGGAGTGAGAGGCTGAAGACTGAGCTGGAACACTGAATCTGACCTGGAAGCCAGGAGATGTTATTCAAGGTGAAGTCAGAGACTGGAGCTCCTCTGAAGAAACAGAAGCAACCCTTCCTTTGTTTCTCTTTTATACCATTCTGGTGACAATCCTCTCCAGGGTGTGTGTTCCACACCCAGAACTATGCTGAGCCAATTTACTTAGTTGTTTCTTATTTAAATTGACATAATTGATTAACTATCACAATCCATCCCCCTGTCAACATGATAACCAGACACATTTCTTAAAAATATAGTCTCCAAATGCAGAACAACACTGTGACTCCCCTTTTAGTTTGTTTCCTCAGAGCCATGAGGAGACTGAAAGAACCAGAGGGAAGTCTTGCTTTCATTTCAATGGTATCATTGTGCTTCCTAGTACAAGCCTTCCCTCATTTGGAACTAAGACATCTGAGTGAGCAAAGCCTAAGGTAATGGGGACAGGAAGCAAAATTTTGCTAGTGGATCACAGGGTGGACTGCATTTGCCAACTTATTGTTGAGGATTTTTGGATCCATGTTCATTAGAATGTTAGTCTGCAGATTTCTTGTAATGTCTTTGTTTGTATCCATTTGTTTCCTTTTCTGGAAAAAAGGTTAAAGAAAAATGACATTATTTCTTCCTTAAGTATTTGGAACAGTTCAACAGTGGAGCCATGACCCGCAATGTGGGTCTGTTGGTTTCAGTTTTGGAATGTCATTAGTATTGATTCAGTTACAAAGTACTTTATAAATATGAGCCTATGCATATTGCCTGTTTGTACTTATGTAGGATTTGATAGGTTATATGTTTTATGGAATTAGTACACTTCATATAAAATATCTGAGTTGTGCATACATAGTTTGCTCAAAATACTCCTTTATTACCCTTTTAATGTCTATAATTTCCATATTGATATTTCCTCTTTGATTCCAGATACTAGTTATTAGAGCTCCAGTGACACAATCAGTTAGCATGTGGTACTTATACAGATACTAGTTATTTATGTCTTTTTTTTCTTTATAGAGCATGGATTATGATTATCAACTACATTGATATTTTCAAAAATTAGTTTCTTTTTATATTGATTTCTTACATTATTTTTGTCTATTCAATTGAATTAGTACTTATACTATTTTTTATTATATTCACTTGATTTAGATTTGAGTTACTCTTCTTTTTTCTAGCCTCAAAAGGCAAGAATTTAGGTTAATATTTAGTCTTGTTTTCTAATGTATTTATTTAATTCTATAAATTTTTTCTGTAAGGTCTACTTTCATTGCATCCCACAAGCTATATTTCATTTTTGTTTAGTTCAATATGTTTTAAAATTATTCTCAAAACTCTGCATTTGTCCTGTTATTTAGAAGTGGGTTATTAAATTACCAAATAATTAGAATTTTCTCCTATCTTTTATTGATTTGCAGTTCTACTCAGTTATAGTCTTAAAGACTGTATGTGATTTCTGCCATTTTAAATTTGTGGATTTGGACTTTCTGATCCACAGCATGCTCTGCTGATCAAAATACTGACTAGGTTTGAGAAGAATACATAGTCTGCTGCTGAATAATAAATTATATCAATAAATCCACCTGATTGGTTCTGTTCAGTCCTACTTTCTTACTTATTTTGATGGTTACATCTGTCAGGTACTGACAAGCTTTGTTGACTTCTTCTGCCACAATGATAGATTTGTCTGTTTCTTTTGTAATTGTGTCAGTTCTTCTCTAATCTATTTTGATAAGATCATATTTACTTTCTCTTTGGTACAGTAAGAGATGTTACTGAAAACTTTTAAAGTAAATAATTTCATCAATAAAACCAAGGAATGCCAGGGTACTAAAATTCTGCCTTTGCTTTCACACAGATCTTAAAATATTAAGGGTTTAGGATACAGTACATACAACTCAACAAAAATTCACAGTGACGGTGAAAACCAACACAGCATGGAGAGAAATCATCTGCTGCACACAGCCCTTCCTTCCTGCTCTGGAGAAAGCACATTAGTGGGGACTTTAAGCACCAGTGGTACTGGGTGTAGTGGAGTTTATTCATATCTACTGTAGTAATCTTCTATAATGCTGAATCAAAACTCAAGACATCTAAATGAAAAAGAAAATTAAGTATTGCAACTGCGGTAAACCAAACAGTTGTTTTTGTTTTTGGCAGAGTGGCAGAGATAAATATATATATGATGGTAGGTGCTTGAAAATGTACTGCACACTATCTCTGACAGGCTGAGCAGCTGGATTTGGAAGAAGGAATACATATAAAAGATGTAGGAGGGTGGAGGATGTGCTTGGCTGGAGGGTAGGGAGTGGTGATGGTGTGGGCTCTTCTTTCTGGTCCCTTGCCCCATGCTCAGGACGCCTTTGTGATGAGGAGACCAGAGCTCTGTGATGCAGGCCTGGGCCCCACCCTCTACTCACTGAGGGCACTCTCTGGGCTCAGTAGACTGAGGGCTACTGTTCAGTTCAGATGATGGAGAACCCTCTCTTTTTTCTGAAAAGTGTTAGTGCCACATGGCTGAGCACCAGCTCCACTAGTTGGGCAATGGATATGATCCTTGCCTTTGCATGTGGATTGGTGCTCTTTCACCTACTGATCCCTTTCTTTGAGACTAATCCATCTTTTCCACTAACTGGGAAAAAGAACACCAGAAAGGTAAGCAACTCTTGGGAGAAACCAAATAGACAGGATTCTTATTCTCTACTACGTTTTCCACTTTTCCTAAATGAGTTGAGAGAATTATGAGTGTGGAAATCTCAGTAACAATACCATTCTTCTAGGACTGGTGGGGCAGAGGTGAGAGTGGGCACCGAGACATTCATCTGAGACTTGCAGACCACCTGTGTGGTGGGCTGGAGGGGCCAGAGTGAAATAAAACAATGAGAAAAGTGGCCAAAAAGTAGGGTTCCAGAGAGATGGGGACATGTGGAGAAAGGGCCAGAGGGCTGGTGCGTCAGTCCCATTCTCAGGGCAGATGCCTCTGGACGGGCAGTTGGAGGCTGATGCCCATGTGGGAGCCGAGAGACGTGTGGGTAGAGCTCAGTCTATGTTTCCTGACAAGAGGAACTGGTACTAATGACAATGATGGTGGCGCTTGTAACACACAGCATGAGGGGCAGGGGGAGACCAGCAGAGACCAGTAGGCTTGTGTAAAGGCAGTGTGGTGTGGAATTTATTGTGCCCGGGTACAGGCAGACAGAAAGTGAAAAGACCTTCTGTAGGGAAGAAAGAGAAGTGTGCCCCTTTTATAGGGATGGAAAGAGGGAAGGGGACATTAGGCAGGAAGACTTTAATAAACATCTGAGGTCAAAGTTCTCTGGCTGTCTTGCATCTAAGTGGGCAAAGTACTTGAAGGTCCAGTGTAAATTCTAGGGTGTCTCCAGATGCCCCCAGATGTGCTAGGACCTGCAAGATTCCTCGTCTATCTTATCTTCCTGACATCCTGTGTTTGCCAATGACAGCCTCGTTTGCTGAGCTGAGTTCCCTGCAGAGAGTAGTGCCTCTGCTGGCAAGCAGCTTGGGGGCTGGGAGAGTCAGTCTGATTGGAGACTTACAGAGCTCACATAGAAAAACTTTCCTGTTTCCCAAAGGAGAAAAACAGGAAATGTTTTTAGCTCCATTACACTTGAATTCTGTTCATGAAATGTAGAAATCATGCTACTCGGGAACATTGCATGCAGATAAACGAGGGAGATTTGGGTCCAAGACTCTCTTACTTGGTTTTTCAGCACCACATTGAGAAGAAGGGCTGGAAAAGGAAGAGAAAGAAGAGCTGTATTCTGAAAGGTAAGGCTCTGTCTTATCGCAGATGTGACTTGAACTCCCTGTTCCTGAGCAACCAGATCCACATCTCTGAGGATGTCTCCTGGGGAGGCCTAAGAGGGAGGCTTCTGGGAAAGAAATCTGACCTGGGGACATTTCTCAGGCTGTGTGCTTGGAATGAAGCGGTGACTGGCCAGGGAAGGGTGGTGTCCGGGAGGGGGCAGTGTGGGTCATAGTGGAGCAATACTACTGTACTTACATTTGCAGGTGGAACTTATAGGTCTAAGGGTGGGAACGTGTTTTACTTCTCTACAGCAGACTCTTCATTAGATGAGCTGTCTTTCCTCCCCATAAGGTGGATGTGGAAGCTTCTTGTAAAGGATGAAAAGTGGCCCCTCCTTGTTTCTTGCTATCACTGTCATTGATGATGGCTGGCTAGCCTGCAGGTCTAATTTGATAGGGTGTCTCCTATGCCCCATTCAACACAGCTTCTTGTAATATCCCAGGTGCCTCCCTTCTCTGCCATAACCCATGTGGTGGACTGACAACTGGTGACCAACTTGTGACACCCAGCTGAAATGAACCAGTGTGGTGCTGGGTGTGAGAGGCCACCTGAGGATTGTTGCCAGCAGTATAAGAGGCAGAACTGGAGAAGAAGAAGTTGAGGCTGTTGGGAACTGAGAGAGGCTGTTGGGAGCTGGTGGAAACTGTTGGGTGCTGTTAGAAGCTATAAGGAGCTGTTGGTTGTTTTGGAGGAGCTCGTCATGCTGGCTTTCCTGATGAACTCTGCTGTTCTCATCATCCAAGGAGCTCAGGACCTTGTCACTGAGGATGTTTTTAGTTCACTTTGGGGGAGCTCTGGTCCTCACTTTGAGCATCGCTTCCTGGCTCTGGAGGGGCAGATGATACACTGCTCAGTGTCCTGGAGAAGATTGTCATGTTGGCTTTCCTGATGGGAACTCGACTTTCCTCATCACTGAAGGAGCTCGGGACCTCATTGTTGCTGAGAATAGCTATGGTACTTTTCGAAGGAGTCCTGATCCTTACTTTGAGCATTGTTTCCTGGCTCCAGTTCAGATCCCTCAGCCTGCTAGCACAGATTCTTCATCTCGCTGGCACAGACTTTCTAGCTTCCACCACTGACCCTCAGGCCTTCCCAGCACAGATCCATGCAACAGGCCTGCTTGAGACATTGTTGTGGGCTCTAGGCCTCCAGCTGGACTCAGGGGAGGCATTGCTATGGGCTGTAGGTCTTCAGTTGAACTCATGCAGGACATTACCATGGGATCCAGGCCTTCAGTGGGATTCTTTGGTCTTTAGTGTATGGACAGATTTCCTGCACTCTCTTTGTATATGATTCTTTGAGTGACTATTATAAAATAATTCTATAAACCATGTGTCCTGTGTTAAATTGTTTTCTCTTGCAAAAACCCCAACCCACGACAACCCAGTCTATTTTTCTAGCTTTCAGAGAGTGCCGAAGGGAACTGGAGGAGACTCGGCATCTAGTTTTACTTCTACAAAGGTGAGGAGCTTTCCACTTCTATCTCCTCCATCTCCAGGACTAAGGGGGAGATGCCATGGTGGAGTGGCTGGCCTGGTGAACCTAGGGTGGGGGACAGTGGAGGGACTGAAAGCCACAATTGCCCACCCCTGCCCAACCTACCCTCCCTTTGGGGCCTGTCTGCTCCTGGCTGTAGCTTGTGCCTCCTGTTTCCTGCAGCCTCCTACACAAGCTCCCTGGAAACGCCGAAGTCAATCACCTCTCTCATGGAGATGCCCCAGGTGAGGTGTTCCAACCAGGGTCTGCAGGAGCCAATGGACCACCAAGGCATTGGGTGGCAGCCCCTTCTTCTAGCTCTCTGTCCTCATTGCCTTCTCTGATTTCTGGGACCCAGCACTCACTGGCCTCAACCCTCTCCACAGAGCCTCAAGAAGACCAGCCTGCCTTGAGGAAGCTGCCCACAGACACTGGGCCCCACGACTCCCAGCTCAGTAAATCCTGTTTGGCATCTCTCATCAGCTTTCTCTCAGGCCCTGACCTCCTTCACCACTGTCTTTCATGCTTCTCCTGGTGCTGGGCAACTGCCAAGGCCACCTTCTTCTCCAGCTGGGCACATGGCAAATCCCAGCAAGAACATCTGTCTCCCCACCCACCAGACACTGTGCTCTGGGAAGGCCCCGCCCACTGGCATGCAGAGATGGGAAGAGGGGACCATGCTTTCATCCACCCTGACGTGCACAAGCTGCTGGAGATGCTGATCAGCAAGAGAGTCAAACAGAAAATGCTCCAGGAAAAACCAAAGGGCGGCTCATTTTTTGAACTGGTGAACACAGACCACCCCCGGGTTTCTCTGAGAAACCTGTTAAAGTCACTGGGTGACAAACTCACCTCTGCACAGCCCTTCTGCAGCACAAAGGGCAAAGCAGAGTGGCTTCTTGGGTCTCAGCAGCCCTCTCTCCACAAGGTCCTGGGCAGCCCTTTAGAGCGTGAATGCAGCCTGCTTTTCTGGGGCCTGCCCTCTCTGCACAGTGAGTCCCTCGTGGCCACTGCCTGGGCTGGTGAAAGATCTTCGTCTACACGGTCTCACTGTATTAAATTTAATGAAGCTCACACCCATATCCCAGGTCCATCTCTACAAGACTCGCCCCTAGTTCTGCCGTCTGTCCAGCCGCCAGCCCAACTCCTGTGCTTTCCCCCAAAGCCGCAGCCTACCTCTCCATCCCAGGTCAGGGCCTGTGGAACAACTTGCTCTACATCCCAGAAGAAGGCACAGTCGTTTCTTCCTATTGAAAATCAGGATCTCGAATGGACCCTGCAGAAGCCATTGAAATGGAGACAGGCTTTAAACTCTAAGCTCCAAAAAGCTCAAGAACCCATTAGCCTACCTACTCTCAACCTTCCTCAGGGCAGCCAGGCCTCTGAGGCCCCACAGTCTTTCTCCATGCTTTCTGGGGATTCTTGCAGCGCTGTACTGGAGAAGAAACCAGAGTGTCACAGGCCAGGGAGATTCAACAGAGATGAGGGTAGCGAGAACTTGCCCCACCCTGCCTTTAGGTTCCAAACTCCCATGCAGCCTCCGGGCAAACTCCCAAGCAAGTGTCAGGGGCAGGCACACGATAGCCATGGACCCACCCAGCACACCAAACACTCGGTACCTGCTTGTAATAGCAGCAGAGATGTTCAGAAGACAAAGTCCTGGCACTGTGGCACACTCTTAAATAAGGGTTCGGTAAATCTCAACCTAAAGGAGAGAAGCAATGTTTTACCAGAGGCAAACAAAGGCCAAGAAGATACATCCCAGAGTACGGAAAGCCCCTTACCAAAGGATGCAGAAAGTGACACCATTTGGTCTGAGGAGTATAACTCAAGAAGTCACTTCTCTAGGGACCCAGATCAGAAAATTCTGGGAAGAGGCCTGCAAGCCCATCCAAGCAGGAAGTTGGGCCAAATCAGTGAAGGCATAATCCCTGCCTGTGTAAGGACAGCCTGTCTTACTGCCAACCACACTTTGCCCAAATCAAACGCCCTCTCACAACCAACAAAGACAAGATGCTCTAAGAGTGGGGAAATATCTGTGAACGCCTCTCAGGAGGTGGCCTTTCCTGATCCCAAAACTCGTATATTGCTGGAAGCACATATTATGAAGTATCGGTTAAGGCACAACTGGGGGCCACTCTTCCAGAACCTTGAGCACAGAAATAGCCACATAGCCCAAGCTCAAGCCTCACCCCCCACAGAGCCCCCCTTAGTCTCCTCAGCCTCCTGTGACTCCAGAGCTGACTTCATTACCAAATTAGCCATTTCTGAGGAAGAAATTCCTGAGAAAGTTCTAGGGAAGAGAGAGACAGCACAAATGTTGTCTCTCCCTCTGCAGAGCCCTCTCCCTGCCACCAGGTCATCTGCATGGAAGGAAGTGCAGAGATCTGGCACTGGGACCCCATCTGATCACAATGATGGGCCCTCAGACATCCCTCCAACTGCACAGGAGGTTGGGCTTCCTTCTGCTGCCTGCACCCAGCAGAGCAGCACTGTTCTCAGGATCGAGAGAGGCAGCCCATGGCCCACTCCAGGCCTAGCAATGGCCAAGCATGATCCAGGGGAGGGGACTGGGATGGTGGCCTTCAGAGGTACCTGCCACAGCACACCAATGTTGGAAATCAAACTACTGTCCCCACTCTCGGTAGCCAAAGAGAGCAGGAAGCTAGAGGTGGAGGAGAGGCACCCGGCATGGGAAGTCACCATAGGAGCCAGCATGATGGAAAACTCTCAGAACATCAACATCAGCCTAAGGTCTTTCGGGTCTCAGGACACCAGTAATCACTCCTCCCCCTCTAATCAAGCTCCAAATGTCGGGAGAAAAGTGGAGTGTCAGCTGGACATCAAGAGGCACAGAGAGAGGGAGAACTGGCCTCAGGATGTGTCCAGTGATAACCGTCAAGACTGCCATGCTGAGGGGCTCCTAAGCACAGGCACCTGGCCTTCGCAGGCCTCTCTGTCCCGCTCTCAGTGCACACCCCACAGCCACACGCCAACCTCGCAGTTCCCGTGTGACCGCTCAATGAATGGAGAAAGCTGTCGGGGGCAGCATGAGCCCAGCATGTCCGGATTCCAGGACACAGAAAAGAGCAACAAGATGTTTGGTCCCACTACCCAAAGTAAGTACTACAGGAAGCCAGGAAAAGAAGAAGAATCCTTTGCAGGAGTGAGGCCCCCCTGTGACCAGGAGCTGAGCCCTCCTGCACAGGTCAGGGAAATAGATACCCCTGGGACCAAATCTTCTCCACACCTGCCAGAGAAGGGCCAGGCTTCTACAGAAAGCTTAATTAACAAAAATATGAAGCACTTTCAGCAGTGTCCTAACACCAACAAACAGCGCAAAGGGCAGGAAGACTCCAGGCAAAAGCCCAAACCCTCATCAACCCCTGCTCAGAGCCGAGCATCAGTCACAAACAGAGTGGTTAGAAACTTGGAGGAAACATATGCACAGATGCTCTTGACAGTTGTTGGACAGATTCTGGTAAAGAAATTAGGGCTTCTCCACGAAAGTGCTCCTTCAGGCGCAAACTCCCATAAAGCAGAACCTCCTGGACCTGTGGGTAGGCGTGCCTGCTACCACAGGCTTCCCTCCAGCCCAGACAAGAGGACAACGGTGAAAGACATGGCCTGTGCCCACAACAATCCCAGTGCCCACAGCCATCCCACAAAGAGCATGCGGGTCAGAGACAGGGACAGCAGTCAGGTCTTGCTGCCTCAAGCGCCTGCGCGCCCCACCAGTCAAGGCCATCACAGGCCAACAGGCAGGGGTGCCTCAGGTTACATTTACCATCGCACCACAAGCTCTTTCCAAAGAGTTGTCTTTTCTCAAATGCAGCAGAAGCTTCCTCATGCCTTTTCTTCTGAAGAAAACTTCTTTGCAGAGGAAATGCATTAAAAGAGAAACTGCTTTGTTTCATGCGAGCATATCTCCTATATGTAAATGCTTTCTTCCTCCCAAGATGTCTGTTGCTTCCTAATGTTCTTCTCTCATCTGAGTTAGGAGCTTCTGTGTCCTAGCTGGGTGTGAGAAGGGATCGGCACGTGCTCTTTTCAGAGCAGCTTCTATAGGGCATGGGGTTGTGGGGGCACTGATGTCCCATCCTCCCCTAGTTTCCATTATTGCACCTTCAGCCTTCATCATGTGCTCCCTACACAAACCACAGAGCCACTGGATTCATCAGGATGACCCATCCCTACAAAGACCACACCCCAGGATCTGGATCGACCTATGGCTCCCCTGCCTTCCCTCCACCTCCAACTTTGTGCAGCTCTGGAGACGGCTGTACCAAGGAAACATCACTTCCAGTAGTTTCACATGTCACCATGTGGCCACAGGAATGTTGGATAGGTAGACTGGTGGCTCTGGATTCTCAGGAGATAGACTGTTGCCACCATAGATTTTTGGTGTTGTTAGCAACACCTGCCCTGGGAACCCCTACTCTGCCTAATGGAGACTACAAAGGGATAGGGTTTGTAGCCCATTTTATGTCACTCTGGATGACATCAGTGTCACCCAATCCAATTCTTCCTAGCTTTCTAGAGCAGCAGCATAGGATGGAACTTGCACATGTGTTTGTGGGTGAGTAGGAATTACAGTACAGGTACAAAGAGTACAGTACAATTACAGTACAGTACAAGGTTATCTCTCTTCCCATCTGGGCAGGATTATGTGTGCAGACCCATTCAAACATAGGGCATATTGCACCCATGATGAAATGTAGGAGAGTAATTCCAAAAGGTGTAGCCAGTGAAGGAGGCAGAGTGGCACGTGAATGCCATAAAGTGTTGCCCTTGAGAAGCCCCCGTGCACCCAGTGCTATGAACCAGCCTGGAGGAAGGAGACACCACAGGCTGAGCTGCTCACCTCGTCCCTCTCCAGGGCTCTCCCCACTCTGACTCCCAGGCTGTAGGCCTGAGGAAACCCCTTTAGCTCTGACATAGATCCAAGAGGAAGCAGAGACTTCAAGCAGGAAGATTAATTCCTCTATAGTGTATTTAATGAGTCTGTATGTTACCACATCTTGAATTCCAGAAAGAACCAGCAAAAGCTGGAAAACCTAGGGCTTAGGGAAACATGAATGTGCCTTCAGCTGGTCATGTTTACATAGGCATATGGTTGCAAATTTCCAGAGAGGTCAGGACACAACACAGCCACAATGCTGGCTTGGGTCAGAAGGGCAGGTTCCTAGATAAAATCCTGGCTTGTACCATGGAACAGCAGGAGAAAGGGCCACCAGACAGGATTTACACAGGCAAGAGAAAATTACCTCTTCACAATGGACGATCTCTGGGTGTCTTGGTTACTTTTCTCTCATTGCTGAGACAAAATACCTGATGTTCAAAATGAAGGAAAGGTTTATTTAGCTCACAGTTTGTGGAGGTTTCAGTCCATATTTGGCTGGCTCCAAGGCAGAGTGGTCCATGGCAGAGGGCAAACATTCATGGCGGCAGAACACAGTAAAGCAACCAGAGCAAAAAGGGAGGAATGGCGGCAAGCAGCTTCTTCCTCTCCCTTACATATGCAAACTATCTGCCCTAGGGCTCATGTGGCACTCACACCCATAATCCCAGCAGTGGAATATGGATCAAATATCTGGAAGCCCACCCCATGATTGCATGAAGATTTGGGGGGACATATAGACACCAACTGTAGCAGTGGGTGTGGGGACAGACCGTGGACAGCCAACACCGAGCCTCATCCTGCTTCCATCAAATGGTTCCTCTTCCCAGAGTCCATCAACTTAGGGAAGCAAGAGGCACCAAAGCGGGAGGATGAGGGATGGGTTAGTCAGCTTTTGGCCACTGTGACCAGCAACTTGAGAAACACAACTGAAAGAAGGAAGGATTTTCCCTGTTCACAGATTTGGTGGTTCCAGTGCATGGTCAGGTGGCTGAAGGCAGGAACATCACGGCGCAGGAAGTAGACAAGGAGAGTTGCTCAACTCATTGTAGGCAGGAAGCTGAGTGGGTGACAGTGCCTGAGAAAAGACCTACCCGTAGTCAACCCAGTGCCCTACTTCCTGCAACTCTGCCCCACCTCCTGGTGCTCATTCCACCATGAGCTCAGCAATGGGTTAATTTATTGATGACATTAGTGTCCTCACAATCTTATCACCTGTCTAGACATCTCTTGATCATAATTTCAAGAAAACTAAATAAAAAAGGAGTTATTTCTCCAGGCTGTCACATGCTGTGCCTCCAAAGTGGACCACACTCCAGTGGCCTCCAATTTGTATCCTGATGGAGAGTTCCACAACAGAAAGTGCCACTGGGGCAGAAGTTATGGACAGGGTCCCTGGCCCCGCTCCTGACAGCCAACCATGTGGGACTGTGTGGCCCTTCAGCATGTGAATAGAGGCCTACCAACCTGTCATGGTTCTAACCCACCTGAGGACCACTTCAACCTCCAATGTGAGCCAAGAAGCAAGAGCAGAGCAAAGACCTTGAGCCAGAGAAGCAGGTTCTGGAGGGTGGGGTGAGATGCTGGATGTGGACTCTAGGACTATGGAGGGGACAAGGTCCCCACAGGACAGAGCTGATGGACAAGCCAGAGTGAAAGGGAGCAAGTTTGAGTGTTTCCTGTTGTCACTGGCCCTGTCCTCCATAAGGGGTGACAGTAAGGCCAGTGACAGAGAAGCTAGAAAGATTCCCACTGAGCCCTCCACAGAGACATTGATACAAGAAAGAAAACTAAACCAACACCATTTCGTGTTCTAGTGCCATTTTAAACCTTAAGCTTCTGTTTCCTTAAGTTTGTCTCTTGTAAATGTTGTCATAGTTACCTAATCCAATACCACCCCATGCTCTGTCATGAGACTGTTCATCCCTTATGTAAAATATCAAACACCTTTGTTCCTTTATCACAAGCTGAGTACATGCTTTGCAGTCTTTCTATAGGTGCACTGAATCATATCAGCACACCCCCATAGACCCAGAACTAGACCTGGAACTTGAATTGTATAACTATTCTTCCCTCCTGCCCTTCAGGGTTGGTCCTCAGTAACGTACTGTGTGCCCACTGCTGGCCCCCAATAAACTTGCTTGTCTCTGCATCTGGCCTCCATAGGTGACCCAATTAAATAAGCGCCTTTGCCATAACAATACCCACAGGGATCCACGCTGCCAAAATCCCAGAGTGTCCACATAGGCCCTGACACTCTACACAGAGATCTCCCTGGATTCTCTCTCAGAGAGCTCTCCAGACATATGCATATTCCCTGACATAGAACACTCTGTGAGAGACTCCTCAGACCTGAACAGACCCCAAATTAAATCTTCCATAAGACATACATGGACACTAACAGAGAGATTTTCAAAAATCCATAGAGACTAACACAGACCTCCATAAAGAGCCACACACAGACCCACACATGGAACTCTGGAGAAAACCATGTTGACAGATCTCAAACCAGACCTACACTAAGACTCAACAAAGACCCCCAGAGAGAAATGCATAGAGATTTCATGAATTCTCTGACAGACAATCAGAGAAGTCTCAGGCTCCCAAAGGGACCCAAACAGAAACTCTCCTGAAAAGGTACATGAATTCCCCCACACAGACCTTCAGATATCTAGAGACTCTCAGAGAATTAGAGACCCACACATAGAGATCCACCCTCTACAAAACTCACATTGATGGACCTCAACGAGGACCTCTCCTGAGACTCTCCTGGAGACGCACACTTAGAGGTCCCCCCAAAGACACTCCTAGAGACTTCCACAGAGATGCAGTGTGAGAATCCCTCAGAGCCTACCTGAGATTCCCATAAAGAGCCCCAAAGATCTTCCCAGATAAGCCCACCATAACACACAGAGACCCCCCCCCAAAATTCTAAAGAATACAGATTCACTTGCCACAATTTCCCCCAGAAATCACACACCAATTTCACATGCTCACACAGAACTCTGTAAACACCTTTGCCAGAGACTTATACCAAGAGAGCCCTCAGAGTCACCTCAGAGAATTAAGATGGAAATCTCCCACAGGGGCCTCAGACTGCCACACAGTCCTCACACACAGCTCCCTCTCGGAGATATCACTCAGCTGCCCCAAGCTTAAAAAGATCTCCTAGGGACACCTCAAAAGATGGCCATGCACACAGAGCTCCCCTACAGCACACACCCAACCCAATATCACGTGGAGGCTTTACAGATCATCCCTCAGAGACCTCACACAGAAACTGCCCCCCTCAGAGCATGCACAGAGACCTCAAGTAGAGGCTAACAGAGACACCATGTAGTGACCTTCCAAGACCACAGCCAGTCACAAAGCATGGCACAGATACTTATAAGAGAGACCTTATAACGTTACTATACAGTTTCTCCAGGATGATTCCATTGAGAACTCACACAGCGACAGGATATTTGGATCCACTTAGGTTGACCCACAAAGTACTGAAACAGGTAGCTCTCATAGAGACCTTGCCCAGGACCTCTGAGTCTTCTAGAACTTCACATTCTTTCAGGGACCTTCTCCTGAGAGAGCCCACCCATAGAGGTAAACTCAAGATGGCTGAGTACTTTGAAAATATGATAAAGTCCTGCAGCAAATAGACTGTAGAATGAAATAACCCAGCATGAAGCACCTGGACTCAGTTTCCTTCTCAGAGGCCCATGCCTCCACCATTTCACTCTGCACAGAACAGCAGTGCCAGCTGTGTGGGGTTTGCTGGAGTTTCACTTGAAACACCCTGAGGATCATGGGAAGTGTATTTAGAAATGTAGCAGGAGGATAACGTTCCTATTTTATCTTCTGGCAAAATTAAACCTAACCCTCAGTAATAATATATTCTCTTCCTTAATATATAACAATGCCAGCAACTGATATTGTGCACATTTCTGGAACATTAAAGCCTTAATGTTCAAGTAGTATAATGCAAATGTACAGACAAAATGCAATATTTCTTTAAAAGCACTCTAGGAAATGCACATTTTTTAAGACTCAGGCAGTCAGGCTCTCTTCATTATAGGTCCACACAAA